GTAAATTGAATAATTTTTCTGCTTCTGGTGAAATACCAAATGTAAATGACAAGTACACTGTACTTATATATCTATATATTTAAACATTCAAATGTTGTTTTATTCAGTCACTAGATAAACTTTACTTGTCAACATCAAAATCACCTTTAGCGGCATGTGCTGTAATTGTTTTAACTGGTGTCTCATCTGCTTCGAAGTAACTTAAACATGGAACTTTACCAATACCAGATCGTTCCAAATCACAAATTTCTGGTGAATCATATCTCTAGAAAATGACAAAAATTACTTTATTACAAGCTCGAATAGAGACCGTCTTAAGAGTTTCTATCATTAGAGTATTTTTCCTCTAGAGACACAAATTGCACTTCTTGAAAGACTAATCATCTGACCAACTGATGATTTACAAACAGAATAGTCTATTTCTCTGACCAGTTATTTGAACTATAATGCTAATCGAAATACACACCATTGCATTTTTTTGAATTTCTGGTATCCATTCTTCACCTTTCTTGATGAGATTTGATGGTAATGGAAACCATGGTTTAATATCAATATTACCATCTTGATCGAGCCATGAAAATGGAAACGGACCTATATCAATCATTGGATTTGTTCTGTACCAACAATCATTCTTTTATAATAAATCATAATGTGTAACACAAACAAAAAGAATAAATATTATTATTATTACTTTTGTCAATTCTGGATAGTCAGGATTGAAATTAAACATTGTAAAACCTTGTGAAGCTGGCTAAAAAGTTTAATACTAAATGTTCGTTCACTTTATAACAACAACATTTTCTACTCACTGAATCGGCTTCAGCACCTTCAGGCTTGTATTTGACCATGAAAGTTTCATTTTGTTTTGCTCGCCATCCTCGAACATCAAATCGAGCTCGTGAATTTATAGAATCATAAAGCAATAATTGAACACCATCATATAGTATTGACTTAGATTGGTCACTGATATTGAGTTTTGCTTGAAATTGTTTAGGAAATCCTTTTTGACATGAACATTGATTCGTTAACAGAACCAACAATGTTAAAAATATAATTTGTTTCATTTTTTCGTAGTTAGAAAAAAAAACAATATTTTTTGTACTCTGTAATATCGACAAGAAAAATAAGGCCTATATACTCTTTTTTTTTGAAAGAATATGATAAGATAAAAAGATAACATCGAAATTACAATTTTTTCTCCCATCATCATGCTGATGAAAAGCAATGGCAGATTTTACATACGCAGCATTGCAAATAATCGCCGTTAGTATAAGTTGTATGTCATAGTGATGTGTTAAGAGGTAGATTATGTAGGATATTTTTGTTTTTTTTTTCTCCTTTTAAATGAGTATATTATATTCATAAGGATTTCTTACAAGTCGTCTTCGAAAAAAAAGTCGCACTCCGACAGATCGTTTCCGATCCTTCGAGTCTTTTTGAAAATGAGACCAATCTCTACAATTATGTCAAAAAGTTATATTTAATGAATCATTGTGATTCACAAAACCAATAAAGAATAAGTGAATGTATAAATAATCTATCAACAGCGAACTGCATCGTGTGAGTGACGATCATGAGCAAAAGTTTGGAATGAAATGAGAGTACACTGTCATGCAGTGTAGAATAGTTCAAAAGAAAAAGAAATAAAGAATATTGTCTATGATAAGCACGAAACAAAGTTCGTGCTAATCATAGCCGTATCTTTTGTCCATCACTGAGTTCATGACGAACAAATTTCCATACGAGAGTATCGAGTTTTGATGTTCTCTTTTGTTTCACTTTATCTTTGTCAATATCTGTAATCAATCTGTAGATAATCAATCGGCTATTCATGCCACCATCTTGTAAAAACATTGTTCGATATTTTTCAATTCTAGTCTATTGTCGATTTTTATTTTAGCTAAATAGTCTTTAACAGATATTGAACCATTTAAAATATCACAGAATATTGATCTACCTTTAATACTATCAATAAATCATGAAATTACAAATGAAATACTTCTCGTTTACCTTCGTATTGAAATGAAGGATCTTGAATTTATACTTCCAAACTCAAATGTACTACTTGTTCGGCATTAATACATTCATCATATTCTTCAACGATGTATTTAATACGATCTTAATCTTTTATCAATCTTAACCAACATATATAAGAAAAAATGTATAATATTAGTGATAAACGTTCATCATTTACCAAATAGATCTTCTTTCAATGATAATTTAGCATAAAGATAATCAAAATAGAAAGCATTGTTTTATATAAAATATAGTTTTCAATATCATGATAAATTTCGAACTTTCTTTCATTTGATCAATTAATACTTTGGTAAGATATTGAAAAGATAAAGAAGCTTCTTCAAGCTTTCTCTCGATGAGGTAATTTAATTTTGATCCAATCAACATTTCACATACGTTGATTGAATTTCGCTTGAAAATGTTTTCTTTGCTAGACTCTGTTTGATTAGACAATAAGATGCAGCATTCAATCTCAAATATGATTAATAGAATAAGACATTTCAAAGCTTCAACAACATTTATTGAAAATGGTAGAGAAGAATAACACATTTAAATAAATAGTTAATGTTATTGAACTAACATTGAAGGTGAATTATTAAATCAAATCAAATGGTTTCAAAATAATGATTATATACAAGATTATTCAATCCATTGCCCATGGAAACGAACATGGGAAAGCAATCGACCACAGTTTTAATATTAGAATTAATTTCATGTTTCTGCAAGAAAATGATCCCTTTTTAAACATCTCATCTTTTGCTAAATTCTATGATGAAAGAACGACACGTCATGTGAAAGATAGGCATGTGCTTATCTCTCAAAGTTTTACTCACGCTTACGAGTCAAGTTCGGAAAGTAATAACCTATTACGACTTAATAAACTAGACGAGAGATTTCGGTTATGGCTTTTGCCGTTTCTTAAAAAGTGAAAATACTTTTTATTATAGCCGAACTTATCAAGAATAGTGATGCATTTATTATTATTAGATTTTTCTACTTGATGATAATGCTACAAATAGAAATAAATTGAATAATTGTCAACCCATATCGCAAATACTAGATCAATATTACCGGTTACCGACCCATTCTACTAATCAAGACGAAGAATGACAACAGAAAGAAAACAATATGTCTAAATACATACGCTTGTCTTTCGCATAGCTCATTTTTCTTCTTTCCTCGCTTAGTGAAAAGAATCAAAATAACAAGGTTAAGTTGAGAAATTTTGCTTCAAGCTAACTGTTAAATTTATTTTTTAATACTTATCTTTTATATTCGTTTTTCTGCTTCAAGAATTAAGTTTTTATTTTAAGCACAAATAACCGGAATTTATCGAAAAAAACTACCGGTTTTTATCACGTGAGAATATTATATCATCAACTAGCTGACTTTTGAAGTCTACGATGTGTCATGATTAAAACATGATGGTGGTTTCCACTTATATCGCACGAAGGCATAATCAATAAGATGTTACTTTTGTCTGTTCTTGCAAAGTCTTTATCCAGATAGTTCCTCATGAAGAATTCGAAATCCTAGAAACTATTTTGATAGTGTACAGAGACTACTTTCTAGCTCAATGAAATTGTTCTTTATTCATCTGATCTGAATATTTTTTGTTGAAAGATCTCGGCCTCTTTCGAGAAAAGCAGATATTCGTATATTTTCATGAGTTACAAGTTATGAAAAGAAAAGAAAATTCTAATTTTAATAATGTGGGTGTGGGTGTGGGTGTGGGTGTGGGTGGTGTGGGTGTGGGTGTGGGTATGGATGTGGCTTTGGATCTGGGTCTGGGTGTGGATTTGGGTGTGGGTATGAGGGTGTTGATACGGCTGTGGGTGTAGGGTGTGGGTGTGGGATATGGTTGTAAGCGTCGGAGAATCAGGAGATGGCCAAGATCAACATCCAACCTCATACCCAGATCCACACCGACACTCACATCCACCCAAACCCATACCCCATCCACACTCACATCCTGTTAGGCCGTCTTCTTTTTCTTTCTTACTTTGTTATCACCGAGATAGTAACGTGATGGTATGACAACAGAACGGAACAAAAGAATACTCCTCCAGAGAGAATCGAACCCACGTCTGCTGCTTTCCGGGCAGTTATACTACCATTGTACTAGAAAGGAGCGTTTATTATTCGTTTCGTTCCGTCTTATAACCGAAGGGAAACACTTCGGTTATAACACATCTACATCCTACACCCACAGCCACACTCACACACCTACCCACACCCACAGTCACCTACAACCATCCATAGCCACCCACATCCACACCCACACCCACACCCACACACCCACACACCCACACCCACACCCTTCCATTCTACAATAATGAGTTTTTTTTAATGGATATATGAAGAACGATAATTTATTTCAAATCGTAATAGATGTTAGAAAGATGTTCTTTTTTTGAATTATTTTGAAGTATGGACATCTAATGGCAATTCATAGAAATTCTTTATTTGTTACTTTTACAAGAGTTTTCATATCGCTCATAGATGCAAATCATTGAACTTTTGCATGTTGTCTGTTGACTTGTTCGAACAAATATTCTAAAAACTTTCCTAAGAACGATACAAATATCCTTTCGGGTGTGGGTGCAGATAGCTGTACATTTAGGTTTGATTGTGGTTCAGAGAAAGGCTCTTGCTCACACCCGCACCCTCACTCATATCGACACTTTAGATATCTATCGATTTTTGTAAGCATGTGCTGATTCAGACCGGTGGTAAAAGTATTTTACAGCTTAACGTTCTTGGCACTGTTAACAATTTGAAAGTGGATGTGAGTGTAGTATCCGCATACCCTTATGTCAGAACCACATCTAAAATTACACACTCACACCCATACACTCCTGTAAGGGATGCAAATCATTTCTGGACGGATGTAGATAGTCGAAATCATTCTCATTTATATTGTCTGTATTCTTTTTTGATATGAGCGACAGTTTATTATGAATTATTAAATAATCGTAACGTATTCAGTTTCGTTTTGTATTTACATTAATAACCGATTTAAACGTATAACTTCCACTTTCAATTTTAAATATGGTCATAGGTTCTGTCTTTCTGACTTGTATCAATGTTCCATAATCTGATGTCGCGTCCGTTCCTGGTATATAAACATTTGCAATCGATCCATATGGAAGCATAACTTTCAATGTAAAAGTTGTCCCAGCTCGATTCCATTGAGTCTCAATCCATCCTCTGGTTGTTCTATAAGTTACCTTAATATGACTGATATTTCCAACAATAGCAGGTTTAATATCTAAGATGCGATAGTCTATAGAGTTAGCAGCCTGTTTTATACCTGCAAGAGAGCACATCAACCATTCGTCCACAGCACCAAAGCTGAAATGATTTTGGCTGGCCAGCGATTGACCTCGAGCTGGAGCGGGACCATCCCAATCTTCGGTAAGAGATGTTGCACCATGAATAATTACATAACCATAACTTGGACTGTCCGTACGTGAGAGAAAGTCATAGACTACATCGTCATGGCCATAGAAACTTAGCATTCGAAACCAAGATGGCAGAGAAACTTCGCCAGTAGACGTATGGTTTCCACGTTGACGGATGTCATTAATCAGATGTTGAATAACGTTTTGTTGTTCTGTGATCGGTACTGCACCCATTTCTAATGCAAATACATCAGCAGCTTGACTTCCTGTGGCGTAGGTATGAGCAGTCGCATTGAAGTAAGTCGTATGAAAGGCAGATGAGATATTTGATGTTAAGTCTGAATATTTTTGAGCATCAGCTATCTTATTCAAAGCATAAGCAATCGTTGCAAGTCCATTAGCAGACATCCAATAACCATATGTTCCAGTGACTCCAACAGGAGTTGATTGATCGATGGCAAACCAATCGCCAAGACCGTATGATACAATATTATTTTTGGCTTTGGACGTCAAATAATCAATCCATGAGACCATGTTGGAATAAAATTCTTCTAGTAAAGCTTTCTCTCCATAAGACTGGTAAAGATACAATGGTAGGAGAATAATACTATTTCCCCAATTCGGCTCATCTCGGAAGCCACCACTGAAAATTGGATATTCAGGAGCAGTTGATGGAACCATTCCATTATTCAATTGTGCTTCAGCTATGCGGCGAACGATTGAGCGGCCATGGGCTTGGATATCGAAAAAGCGTTGAATGGCAGGAAAAACAAGATGAGTTTGTTCCAACCAGCCAAGTTTTTCTCGATGAGGACAGTCAGTAAATACAGAGAACATATTACTCTGTACGGCTCGGTTGACAATTTTATGGATATCATTCAAGAGTTTAATAGAACTATTGAATGTACCGGTCACATCGTTGTTAATACGCAATGTGTAGCTTTTGAGATCGTTAACTTGTGGTACATAGGTTAAATTTTCTACTTGCAAGTAACGAAAACCATGATATCTACAGAAATTATTCATTGAATCTTTTCAAAACAAACTGTTTGAACTTACCTAAAGATTGGAACATAGGTCTCGATACCGTTACCAGAAAAGGTATAACGATCATAAATCGGAGTGCCCTCAGTTTCTTGATTGATAGTTCCATCTGAGCTGAGCAACTCAGCTGGTCTCATAGTGACAGTTGTTCCACGTGGGCCTCTCATACTTAACTTTGGCCAACCCGCATGATTGACCCCTAAATCAAAGACATACGTACCATGACCTTTATCTGTAACAGAGATGGCTGTAATTTCTTCAACTGGTTGGATAGAAGGAGATTGTCGAGCTCGATAAGTAGCATTGGGATTTGGTATGGTCGAAATATCTGCCATCTTCCATGTCGAATAGTCATATGTTGGTGTATCCCAGCCAATAAGTTCCTTTCGTGCATCATATTCTTCACCACCGTACCAGCTAGATTCAAGTAAAGGACCTGTAACAGTCGTTAGCCAGCTAGAATCTGACACAATATATTGACAATTTCCATTCGTATAGTTCAACTGTAGTTGTGCAATCAACTTCATTGGATGTGATGTTGTCAGAAATTTATAGTATCGTCCACCAAGTGGTTTTTCAGCTCTATAAATTCCTTTTCCTAAAGCTACACCCAGGACATTATCACCATCTTTTAGAGTAGCTGTAACATTATAAGTTAAATATTCGATGGTCTTATTCCAATCGAAATATCCAGGATTAAGAACACCACTTGTCACCGATTGACCATT